CAACTCATGAATGAATGAGCAGGCAGAGGAATTGGCAAGAGTTAGCAAAGGAATTCAGGAGCTAACAGAGGAGCTAAAAGGAGCAAAGAGGGTCAAGGAATCCACAGAAGAGTTGTGGCTCCTGAGCCCACTACCCGCCTGTGTACCGAACATGCTGTCCTATGGAACGCAATCCCCCTCCGGGCAGTTTGGGTTGGCTGGCTGAGCTGTGTGTCCCCCCACACTGCCTGTAGCGGGAGAGCTGGGAACACAGGGGCAGGATCAGAAGCTGAGACAGACCTTGGATTTCGTGCAGGCCTTCCCCAGCGCCTGCTGAAAACCCACCTTGTCAGTACTTTTCTCAGGGTAAATCATAGAATCACAGAATAGTTTAGGTTGGAAGGGACCTTAAAGATCACCTAGTTCCAACTTACGATGGGCAGGGACACCTTTCACTAGGTCAGGAACCTAGCTTCGTACAGTACCCACCGTGAAGAAAGTTAACTCTTTCCTGACTAAACCAGCACAGAATGAAAACACCCACACAGATGAATTGAGCAAGCGATGGCATTAGCTATTGCTTTTCTCCTGTGTTTTGTTTTTGATGTTCTTATTTATTGGGGGAATCTCACTGAAATAAAAAGCAAGTTGGATGTATCTTAAGCCCTTTATATTCCAGGTGTTTATTGAGGGCACAATTTCTCATTACACTAAACACAGATTTTGAATACCTCTTCAATTCTTTCTTTTCCTGAGTCAGGTCAGCAGTGGGCTGTGTATGTACCATTTCGCTGCAGCAATGTACAGGCAAGGTGGTAGGTGGGAACCCGAAGCAAAAGCTCCTGGGGGTTGGGAATCATCTAAACAAGACAGAGGTTTCTTGCAGTGAGGAGGACATCAGGGGATGTACAGCAGCAGTGAAGTTTTCCAACACGAACTCTCACCTCCTTTGGTCCTTATGTTTATCCTTCCATTCCAAATGCACCTCCAATACCACCCAAAATCCCCACCCTTCCCTTTCCCTCCTCTTTGCTGAACATTCCCTGTAGGTAGTGCTAGCTCTAGGGTGCCAGGATTAGTTTTGTACGGGCTCTCACCTCGATTTTCAGACATTTACTTCTGAGTTAGTTGAACTGTTGATGTCCAGGATTTCACAAGGGCTCTGCACTGCGGATTGGCATGGAGCAGAGCGTACTGTCGCTTCGTCATGGCCCAGAAAGTTTGGTGCAGGTGGTGCGCGCTGTCCTCCACACTGCAGTTGTCTTCCCTGGGAAACAGGACATTGGGTTTGGGGGTGGAACATAGGTCTGCGAGTAAGCAGACTTGATAATATGGTATTCTCCTTACTACTTATCTGCTATTTAGAATCATAGAATCATAGAATGGTTAGGGTTGGAAGGGACCTTAAAGATCATCTAGTTCCATGGGCAGGGACACCTTCCACTAGACCAGGTTGCTCAAAGCCACATCCAGCCTGGCCTTGAAGACATCCAGGGATGGGGCATCCACAACATCTCTGGACAACCTGTTCCAGTGCCTCACCACCCTCTCTGTGAAGAATTTCTTCCTGACATCTAATCTAAACTTCCCTGATTTTTATTTATACACTTTATATTCATTTACTTTACAGCATGACTGGGCTAACGGTGAAATGTGAAGAAGAAACAAAATCTGTAGAACCCAAACCTGAAAAAAAACATAAAGAGCCAAGACTTGCTAAAGAAGTGTCTTTAACTGTAGAAGACTTTGAAAGTGTTCCTTCGTAAGTATGCATGGGTTTTCATAGACCCTGTCATGTCAATTTGGGTGACAAAAACATAGGTTTCCTAGAGCTTTCAAAACTGTCAAGTAAGCGGTATCTATTTTCTTCCACTAAATTGCTCAATTCAAAAAATGGTGGAGCCTGAATGTTGAGATAATGATAGAGGACTCTTCTGGTGACTTCTTAAGAGTGCATGCACCTGGTATTGTCATTCTGCCCATCACCGCTGGTATTTGGTAGATTTACTCCCTTAGGTACATCTCTCCTGCTAGAATTTTGGCAAGGTAAAGCTGGAGCATGAGAATCTTTGATCTTTATCTCTGCTAAGGCAGGAGAAGTAGACATAGACCATTCCAGACAAATGTTTTAACCTCCAGTTAAAGTTAGTCAGTACAGTCAGTGGCTTTTACTGCAGTGTTTTCTGGGGTTTTGTTTTGCGTTTAGCTTATTACTTGTCATGTGAGCTTCAGATTTCATTTTTATACAACGGCTTCTCAGTTGGGAGCACGTTTCTTTTTCCTTGAATGCACGCCTGTATATCTATAAATGCTGAATAGCCCTACTGGCAGATATTCCAGTGTTCTAATATTTCCACATCCCTTTGTTTTTATCTTCTGTGCTTCCTGTCCCTCTAGGCTGCTATCAGCAGATCTTGTTGGTTTAGTACTAGTTTTACAAATGCTCTGAAAGTTCTGAAGCGGATGTTGGTAGTGCAGAACTGTGTGTAGCTTAGTAGGCTGCACATAAAATAGAGAAAGAATATAGACAAAAAACTGGTATTTCTTAAAAAAGAAAAAAGGAATGGCTGTGAGATCAAACACAAGTTATTTATGATTATAATAGGAATCAAATTGCACTCTTGGGCAGGAACATTTAATTTCAGTTTTGGCTCATGCTACGTTTTCTGTAAAGTTACTTGGTTTTCCTGCATTTGTAGTTTAAGTGGCACACTATAAAAGCAACCTTTATTCTGCTTTGAAAAACTCCTTTCAGCCTAAGCACTGGGTATTTTTTACTTCTTAATTTAGCTTTCTAATGTTTAATCTTTCTGGCTTTTCAACATTATTAAACAATCAAGGAAATGAACAAAATTAACTACTGTGTGTATTCATTAACACAAAGCAGAAGAAACCACCTCCAACTAGGAATAGCATGTTCAGTTACAGCTGATGAAAGAGGAAAATAAAGACGGAACTTCGTTTGTGACTTTCTGGTTACTGATTTTTATTTTTATTTGTAGGTACCTGAGAGGTCGTTTAACTTACGATCAGATTAATGCAGTTATTCAAGGCATAAACAAGGCTGTGCTGGGCAAGTACAAGATCCTTCATCAGCCTTTGAAGTCTATGAATTTTGCGGTCAGAAAACTCTACCACAGGTTCCTGGAAGAAGAAACTAAGGACACAAAAGGTATTTTTTTTTACATTTGTTAGTATGAAACTCATAGCATCTGGATATTGCAGCGGAAGTATAAAAATACTGGGCAAAATACTGAATGACTAATGCCAGCGCATGGTTTTCATGGTATAGTCTAACTCATAAAGTAACTCAGAAAGTGGCCTGTCCAGGCACTCTGGTACTTGGTGGAATCGCATAACTTTGTGGGGATGTTTAAAACCATCAGTCCTGAAAAACTGTAGAAAGCCGGCTAATTGCTTATTCTCAGACAGAGAACAGGAAGAAAAAAATAAAATAAAAAATCTGTAGACTTAGCAGGGCTTTCCCCCTCCCATCCCAGCATGGGGTGCCACCGTCTAGGTGAGATTTGGCCCTGAAGAGTTCCTGTCTGCTGCAGGGGGTAAACAACACTTGGACAGTCTGCAGCAGGTTCTGTTTCTCTCGATATAAGGAGGGAGAACAGAAGTGAGATTCATCTCCAGATCAGATTCCAGGCCATAAAGCATATAAATGTCTCATGCTGGCTGCCCAGCTCTGTACAGTAATCAAATCCAGTCACCTCTTCTGGATGAAATCCTATAGCGTGGCAACAAAGGTGGTTGTGACCTAAGAGTTTTCCCCTAACTGATCTCGTTACTTTCATGGTGTGTTGTAGCAAAAGCTGAGTGCACAAAGGTTCAGCGTGGAATCACTGCAAGTTCTGGAAACTCCCTGATTTGATAACCAAACTGCACCCACTGCGTTTTCAGTTTTTAAGCTAGAATGGACAACAACTATTAAAAGTTTGTGCTGTAGCTGGGAAGTCAGGGTCATCAGTCACACTGCAGTGACGTGGTAGAAGAGACAGGGCTGACTGATAACCTGAAGAAGTTTTCTCCTCCTAAAAGCGTAGAGGGAAGCAAAAACGCACCAAAATGTCTGTGTTGCAATTTAAAAGCCAGTTGTACGTGCAGGTTAGTTTTTCCAAAGATATGTGACACAGTAAATCTCTAATATTAAAATCTCCTTTTTGACATTCCTTTCCTTTTGAGAACAAATATGTAATTCCTCCTGGAGAGGTGTACTGCACGGATCAAGTTTGGCGATGTCCTTTGAATGCCCTCGTGTTTCCAGGTTCAGCCACGAAGTGTGGAGCAAACTCCATTCTGAGCTCTTTTCCTGCCAACACCTTGGTGCCTGCCTCTCAATTTTTGCCCTGGACAGAACACAAAACTTTCTGCCCTAAGCACAGTCACTTGGTGTTCAGGAGCCACCTCATGACCAACTACGACTGCAGCTTCCTTCCTTTGGATTTGTCGCTGGTCAAGACTCTCTCAGTATTTGTTGCATGGTGATAACACCACCAGCTCCTAGATTCTAAACACATCGCTTGCATAGGGAAGGAATTCTGATGTGATGGACATGCCTGGCACTTTTTTTACTTTGAGACCTATAAGATAAATCTGTCTTGTGAAAGTCAGTGTTGTAAAGGACTTCAATAAAAGCACGCTAAAGGCACACAGCTAGACTGCTTCACATGACCGGCTTCTGCTTTGGGCTTGGATAGCGTGGTTTTTTTCCTAGACAAGGCCTACTTCAGTTTAACAATGGCTAATACCAATATGGGATCATATTAGCCTGGAATGCTGCTCAGTCTGCACTGTGATGCATGGCAGCCTCGGCTGCAATGAAGGAGCCATTGTAGCAACTTGAGATAACTTTCTGCCAGTAAGTTTTAGGGGTTTTTTTAAACCTGAAAAATTGGGGCTTGTAATTTCTTCAAATACCTGAGAGATAGTCTTTATTTTCTTGTTTATGTTGGAAGGTTCAGTTGGGAAAGTAGGACATTCAGCATCTGAGAGTGTGTGTATGTGGTGGGGTTTTTTGTTTTGTTTTCGTTTGTTGTGACTAATCATCTAGAAAGTCTAGAGAAAAAGGTCTGGCAGGCTGTCAGGCTGTTCTCACCTGGCCAGCACAAAATGATTGTGTCTTTATCCGTTGCATATTTCAGGATGAGGTTGTGCATTCATTAATTTGTTTGCTTAAATTTTCTGCTGTGAGTGTCTCTCTGCCTCAGATTCCCACAGTTTCTCAGCCTGGGCTGATTGCCAACTGACCTCTCCCTCTGATTTCAAGATGAGAAAAGATGCTGCCTGGTTCACCAGGGTGGCTTCCCAGCCGTAGGTGATTCAGTCAGTTTAGGTAGTTATTTCGTGCACAGATTTCCCGTTGCCATCCAGACTGCCACCCTTTAGCCAGCTCTGGTTTCTTCATAAACAAGATCCTGCTGTGCTGAATGTTGCTGCCCTGAATTTTGGGCAAACAAAAGTAGAAATTGTATTCTGCAGAGATTTGGGACATTCTGGTGCCCCCCCCAGGAGAGACTGCGGAACCAGCATGTGGATTATCCCTGGGTTCCTAACACCGTTTAGGCCTATTGCCGTAGTACTGGATGTTGGTCCTTATCCTACTGTACTTCTATTGTAAGCACCTATGCAGGTTTTTCTTTTGTTACTGGTAAAGAAACTTTCCACTTCTCATCTGTATGTGAATTCAGCAGTGTCACAAAGCTCTGTTGAGATTCCAGCATAGTTCCCACCTGGAGGAAGAGCTGCAGCTTCTGACAGTAACTGTCTCTGGAAGAGTCTACTCCCTATTAGTCATGTGTGTCACCAATGCCAACATGGCCCAGCCTGCTATTCTTCAGCTCTGGCTAAACAGTGTTTTGGGGAACACTAGGCTTAGAAGCAGCACGCTGGGACCTTAGTTGGGATGGCTATCACATCCTTGGATGCTCCTTCAGAGTGGAATATGTGTCCTATTAGATCACTCCTAAGATGGAATTTTGAGATGGGATGTTTACAGGAAAACAGGGTCACCTCTGTAAAGCTGCACTGTACTTGTTTAGTAAATAAACAAAAGTTTTTCTGGCAGCTTTGGCTTTCCAGCTTGCACCAGTTACTTTCTCAGTTAAACTGGAAGGACTCTCCAATAACTTAATAGAAAGAAGAGATGCTCTGTCTTATCTAGGATGCTGCTGCCTCCTCCTTACTTCAGGGGGAAAAGGAGGAGGGAGAATGCTATCCCTTTTTTTCCCCAGGCTAGAACACCCCTAGCCTTGTGACTTCTCTCATAAGACTTGGAAGCATGATACTACAGAAGAATGTTATTTCCTCCTACTTACTCTCCTTAAAGATAATTAGACATTTCTTTCTTATACTTTAATTAGCAGGTTCCTGGTTTCAGATTGCTTTTCATTCTCACTGTTTTGTGAAGGTGTGTGGTTAAAACCTTATGCCACGTTACAGGAAGTATTAAATGCACAGTCATTTAACTAGGTGTATAATTATCTCCTACCCGAGCAGTGTATAAAGGCTGAATATGAAATCACAGCTAGTGAACATAGCTACAGAGTGCTTAGGCTAACTCCTTCCTTCCCTGGAGCTACCTGTCTGTGAGGGCTTTCTCACGGGGTTCGGTTGCAGGCATTTCAGATGGTTTAACTCCAGTCAAGGCCTTGGCTGCCTACTTGATAATGAGATTTTCCTTTTGGAAGTAGCTGATCAACTATAAGAAGGGATGGGCTGCCAGCTCTGATGTAGGACTTTCCTGTGTCGTTTTCTCAGAGAGACACGGAGAGGATGGTCTTCCAAGTGGTTAGTCTTTTCCTTGCATTTTCTTAATGAACGGAGAATTATTCTTTTCCAAATACGGCGGCAGTCAAGGGAATGCTGGGCTGCATAGCTCTGATGTATATGAAGGGCTCTGTCCTTTTATTGGCAAAGGGCTAGTTCGAGAACGTGAGTGACTGCTGAGAGAACATCGTCAGGCTGCTGCTTATTTCAGACATCGCAAAGCAGTTGCTTGGGATTCATATTATGGTGCTACTCAGCTGCCTTCCATGACTGCAACACCAGAGTGTGATGCCTTTCTTTGTAAAGCCGTGCCGTCATCTGTAAGCAGACCCTGAGGATCAACTTGGATTTGCTCAGGTCAGTGCTTTAGGTGTCACTACGGGCAAGGCCTCAAGGAGACGTTTACTGTTAGGCATCCGGGCTCTGCAAAGTGTGCTGTCAACAGACTTTCTACTTTTTGCTCTCTGCATCTTCTGGCCCATCCTTGGAATGTCTCGTATCTGGCCCTGGATGGTGTTTTGGACTACTACAGGCTTTACACCCTGATAGAGGAGCATGGATGGTTTGAGAGGTGTTAGTAGATACAGCTGACGACAGGTGGAGCTCGCTGAACGTGTCCTGGGGACAATGCAGGGTGGTTGAACTGAATTGGAGGGTTGGCAGTTCCTCTTTCTGGTGACAAATTTAGAAAGTAGAACAAAGTTTCTGAGAGAGGTTGAGGTCATCCTATGGCTTGATTGTATGTTCTTTCACTGTTGCGTGGAATTGTTAAAAAAAGGTGGTATTGTTACTGGTGAAATGTTGTGACTTCTACAACACAGTCATTTCTATAGGAAAGTCATTACTTGTTTTGCAGGTGAATTTTTCTTTGTGGAGGCTGATATCGAGCATTTTGCTCGTCTGAAGATGGACAGGCGCTTTCACAGCATCCTCAGTATCCTGCGCCACTGCCGGAAAGTGAGAGAAGTTCGTGGCTCAAGACTCGTCCGCTACGTCATCTGCTAGCAAGCTATCTGTATTTTGCTTACCCAAGGTACAGGGAGCAGAAGTATTTTCTTGTCTGCAGAGAGATTTTGTTGTCTCCAGAGAGATTCTGTATTTTCCTATCCAGCTGTCTTATTTTCTGAGAGGTGGCAGTGAGGACCTATCCTAAACTAGGAGCAGCAGTATCAAATGGCCTGGAAGGGCTTGAGTTTTGATTTGAAAACTTGAGAGGAACTAGACTTTTGGTAATTACAAATGCAAACCAGATAGGCAAGTGGGCATCTGTGGCCACAGGCCGTTTTAATCACATTTTCAGGTCAGCACTTGAAAGTTAAATTCTCTGCACGATCATAATGTTCCTTTTGTGTTTATGAGTTGGAGACTGTGTTTAATAGTCTGTAGCTACACAAAGGAAGCATTTGATCCCTTTTTTAAAATCCCTCAAACCAATTTCCACATTTCCTTTTCTTAATCTTTTTCTTCTTCCCTTAACTGCTTGTTGTGGAGTTTCCTGCATCGCTTGAACAGAAGGATCTGAAGTGGTTTGAACGTTTCCAGACTGATGATCGGTAGTTCTGTCAGCCATGTGGTTTTCATACTAAAACATTCAGCCAGTTTTTTCCCTCAGACCAACCTGTTAGTTAGACTGAAATGCTGAGGACTGAGCTGTGAGGACTTTCACTTCGAAAATACTGGTCAAACTCACACAGTTTTTATTACAGAGTGTTGCTTTCAAGTGACCTGTTAGTGTAGTACGTTCCAGACTAGAATTATTGTGATAAATACCAACTCTGCATGTAATCAAAACTGAGTAAGAAAAGCTATGGCCTTGTTCTTCCGCGAGCCTTATCTGCTGTTATCCTAATGTCTAATCTGAAGTACCTCCCCTTGTACCCTGTCAGGGTTAAGATGACAATTTAATGAGTAAAATAAACCTTGAATGCGCTGTGAACTTTCTTAATAAAGAGATCCTGGAGATTCTATATAATTCTAGACTTCCCCTTTTTGTGTGTTGTTGATTTTGGGGTGATTTCTGGCCTTTTGCTCTGGGCTGTTGAGATTGAAGCTGAGTTCTGTACTCTGCATTGTAGTGGAATGTATTCCGTGTTCACATAAACACGCAGCATAGGAGGAGGCGCAAAATCAGTCCCCACAGGTGTCAGTTGAGTCCATCTGTCTTTTGCAAAGCTTACTTGTATTAAATAAAGTGTAGAGGCTTGGGTCCATGTGCTGGTGTCAGTTGGGACAGAGTTCATTTTTCTCAGAGCAGCTGTATGAGGCTGTGATTTGGATTTGTGCTGAGAAGAAAATTGATAACGCACTGTTGTTTTTGGTTGTTGCTGAGGAATGTTTACACCAAGCAAAGGACTTCTCCAGTTTCTGATGCTGCCCCTGTGTTCCTAACTTCTCTACAAGAAGGAACACAGCTGGGACAGCTGACCCAAACTGACCAAAGGGACATGTCATGGCATCAAACCTCACACTTGGTATGTAAGCTGGGGGTGGGCTGGGGCGCCCTCTCAGTGGCTCTTTCTCGACGGGGCTCGCTCCGGCTCTGCTGCAATCTCTCTCTTGGGCTTGGCCTGGGTTTCAGGCTCTGGCTCTCGATACTTGGGACCTGGCTGGGCACTGGGCAGTAGGTGGTGAGCAATTGTATAATTTGTTTTATTTTCCATTATTTTCATTGCATATTACTAGTAGTAGCAATGGAATTGTTTTCATTACATATTGTTCGTAGTAACACCAGTGTTACTGGTATTGTTAGTAATATTAGTATCACTATTTTATTCATGTATATTTGATTATTAAATTGTTCTTGGCACACAAGTTTCCTCATCTTCTCCTCTGATTCTCCTTCTCCATGGGGGAGGGGAGAGGTCAGTGAGCAGCTGTGTGGTGCTTGGTTGCTGGCTAGTGTTAAACCACGAGAGCCCAGCTTCTTGTACTCTTAAGAGTCTTTCAAGAGTGGGGACTTGCAGCCTTCTGTTTAATAAAAAGAATTCCCTACATAAAGCAGTTGCACTGGATTGCCTTTTATTCCATGTTCAGCTTTGACATTTCCAGGTGACAGGCTCCAGACTATCCAGCAGCCTGATTTCTGGTTTCTTCTGCTCTCTGGTCATGACTGCTCCGCACTCCAGTCTGCACTAGGAGGAGATCCTGTCACACAGGTGTCCCTGCATCAGGGACAGTGTGGCCAGCAGGAGCAGGGCCGGGATCAT